ATGATGGATACAGTAAAGGTTTACTGGCTATAGCAAATGAATTGAATGTCTTTGTCCCAAGAAAATGTAAACTCAATGATTTAAAATTACTGCTATCGCAACATGCAGCTTTTAAAAGCGTGAGTAGAAAATTATTTTCTTATTCAATATAATGAGTGACTCGCACCTTTGTCTACTCTTTTTCAATTGTAGGTCAGCGAACTTGAAAAATTAGCGGCTGAATGAGAAATATCAAAATAATTTTTACACCGAAGTACCATTGCGAAACTAATCCCATTGAAGCATATTAGTGTCACTCGAAACAGTATATAAGAAAACATACAGATCTAAGTTTTTAAAAATGAACAACTTTAATGCCTGAAACAGAAGAAAATTTCATTCAAAAGTAGATTTATCGCAAAATTTTTCGTCGATTCTGGAGAACTATCAAAGCATACGATCAAGGGAAAGATTATCTTGAAGTACTAACAATGATTTTTAGTGGATTGTGTAATGATCAAATCATAAGTCACCGTAAAATCACAAACACTAATCTTGACCATTAATACATATAACTTTTTGTATGCTTAACTTCTTCTATTACTATAATATTTATCTATTCTATTTTTTAGGTTCTTATTCGTGTTTAGCTATTTTTTGTATTGGCATACCAATAACAGCAGATAAAAAGTGTAAAATAGGACCTAAATATCAATTCTAACGGAGTATAACTCAATGAAGTTTCAAAAGTCGACTCACTACACTCCGAAAGCGCTGAAACCATTTCCATTGAACTCTGCATGGTTTTTTTTATATATTCCACCTTATTTCTACAAGTTCTGAATGAGAAAATTTTCTTTTATAATGAAAAATCACTAGACGGATTTTTCTCAGGCTACCATTGTGGACATCTTTTCTCAACATAGGAAAATGATATTAAAAAAATCGAGCCATATTTTTGTATCTTGTCGACTGGCGCTTCTAATGATGCATGAACAAAAGCTCTATCTCTCAGAAAAACTAGATACATTTGCAAAATGAACTGGTACAAAGCAAAGTGATATTGAAAGCTTGTTTTTTCAGATTCAATATGTAACATTCGATAAAGCGCTAAATAATATATCTAGACTCATTTTTCTACGAGGAATTAGAAAATCAAATCGGTGAGAAGTGAAAGTTGAACAGGAAAGAATAAACGTTGCTTCCCAAAAAGCAATTCTTTTGCTGATTTTTACACCCTCTCAGTTTTTTGCCGTTTTCTCCATGAAAATTTTCTCGAATCGAAAAAGTAAGTAGATATTCGTGATCAGCTTGAAACACCGAATCTATTGATATATATTTAAGCAAAAAATAAGAAGTGCTGTAATTTTGAATTACGCGCACCTTATACATATACGTTCACAGACAATTTCATTAAGTTACATCCTTCTGCCTATATAAAATAATACTAGGTTCCTTGTTAGCTGGCTTGAAACTGTACGCTCCACAATATCACATTCTTTCAGTAGAGTGTCGGCGACGTTTACGCCGCGTTACCTGTTAGATTGATTTTCTCATAGATTTTCAGTAGTGTGGTGCACACACAGCTGTCAGCACAGCATTTTTTCGATCATGTTTTACGCGTATTTTGTAGCTTGCAAAAAACTCTGTCTGTGATAAAAAAAAATCTACAGATTTTGGCGGCTGGTTCACTTTAACGTGCCGTGAAAAATATTTTGCATCTTTCAGGTATGGTGTAGAGTCAGAGAGAACGCTAGGAAAACGCGTTTCGAAGTGAGTATCATTTAAGCCCCCCCTCGTCAGAATCGACTTGCCACTTGGAAGTATAGGTTTGGGCTGAAACTTTCACGAATGAATGAGTCTAGTAAGAAATGCTTGTGGTAAAAGTTTCAGCCCTGCATACCTTACTAAACTAGACTTATGACTTGTTTTATAGCTTCCACGAGAATTGCTATAACTTCATCACTATGGGAGCTATCGAGGTCGGGTCGGTTTTAAATTAAATCTAGCCTCTATACGCAAGTTTTCATTACACAGAATTTTGGAATTCCCTTCTGTTCATTTTTTTATAAGTATTTTACTCGGTGTGACTGTCAAAGTAGGTAAAAAAACGCACTAAATGGGATTTTCTCAGTCCAGGAATCCAATAGGAAAAATCCGTCTGATAAAAAGTTAGCTATAATTGAAACCTTCAAAATAAATAAAAATATCAGGGAAAGCTAAAGCCAAACCAAAGTTATAGCAATTTTTCTACTTGAGACCTATGTTTTCATACCAGCATTTAGGAATTTTTAGAAAGTTGTGTGGGAGCAAGGGAGATGAAAGCGCATTTCTTCAATAAGTCTGTCAAAATTTGAGCTTTTTTCAAAAAATTATATCTATTCTGAAAGAAGAAATCACGGGAAATCTTTCTATGATAAAAGCTCGATTTCGTTTTTTTTCGAAAAATCGGCTTTTCTGAGCGGGGGCTGGTCCTTAAGGGCATTTTGAGTACAAACCGTGTCCCGCCCTTTCTTATTATAGTATATAACAGCATTGACATTTTGTTTAAAATGATCAGCATTTTGAAAAACTCGAGGAAATGTTTTTCCTATATAACTCGATAAACTATGCCCAATGAGATCGAAAATTATGCTGAAGTTTTGCATTTTGAGCATCGTAAGAAGAAGTGCAGAAGCCTGTTTTTCCTGCTTGTTGTCATCTCCCTTTTACTATTATTATTAATATTGTCTCAGAAAAATTATCCGAGGCAAAGCCAAACGTCGCATTTGTTAATCTTTATTTTCTATTATCTTTTTACTATTCTTTTCATTAGTGCTCGTTCACTAGTCTCCTCATTGCTGTATTCTCTGCTGTGAAATGAACATTATTAATCTACTGTGAGATGCAAGCGCAAAGCGATGAAGAAATCATAATACCCATGCACAATCACCCCACACGATCCATTCAGTTGAAATTATCAATAGTTGCACCCGTGATTATTGTTTTTGCAAGTTGTTGCATGATTTTCTTCTCAACGAATCATTGGAAAAGAAGGAATTTCACAGTCAACAGAACATCACCGGGTAGGTACCTTGCTGGTATGCCTTATGGTCGCTTGTCGAATCGATACTTTGAAATTATGCTCATGCTACGTTTGGCATATCATTTAAACAGAACTCTTGTTCTAATACCATATAAAGGAGTGGAGATAGATGAAATCTTTGATTTAGATGCAGTAAGTAGACATTTTCGTCGGAATCATCTGGCTTTAACCTGGAAGAAATATCAACGGATGAAGAACATCACATCATGTTTATGCGTAAAATCCGTGTACTATGTTCATGATCAGGAAAGGTTTCCAATGTGCAATACATCAGCAAAACTTGATGCATGCAAACTTATCTCTTCTCATCCAATATTAGGTGAAAAGCGTGTGAAATTAGCTAGCATCGAGGACGCGTTGACCATTCAAGATTATTTCATGGTAATCAGTGGAGAACGGATATGGTCTCTTAAATCAATGAGAGGTTTTTCTGAAGTTCTCGCGGCACAGAACAACAAAAGTCCTCATTTTCATCTAGATTACATAAGAAATACATGGGTTGAAGCACACCATGTCTACCGATGGCTTAGCTCAAGATCGAACTCGTCTAACAACACGACGCTTGCAATCCATTTGCGTCGAGGTGATCTAGCTAGTAATATGAATTTAACAATATTTTTAGAATCGGCAAAGCAAATCTCTTTAAAATACTCCGTTCCAAAAGCACAGATTTTTATTGCAACAGATGCAAATTCTACCGAAATTGAGATCATTCGACATACGTTTAGCTTAGCGCAAATTGAGTGTCCGGTAAACGTTTCGCAAGATTGCAAGCATCACGTTCGTCGGCTTGTACTTATTCAGGCTGTGGCTTCCTTAGCGACACATTTTGTTGGAAGTCACATATCTACTTTCTCATATGTTATTCAAGCGATGCGAGCTGCTCGAAAACCATTAAAATACCATTAAATCAAGGTCGTACCAGATAATTGGCGTACTTTGACAATGTGGCTCTCAATCTGAAAATCTTTCTAATACGTATTTGACGGCTCCAGCTCGGTTCATTGAACAAGAAACACCTTTACCGCTGATTTCAAGTGCGTGACAGCATGCAGCCTTCTCACTGGATTAGACTAGCTATACACTGAAAAAAAAAGGTACCACACGAAACCTTTGAGGTTTCGTCGAGTTTTACTATACTATATAAGTATCCCTACACTGTAAAAAAAAAGAGTAGAATAATAAACCCTTGTCCTTTCTACAAATCATGCTAAACCCTTGAAGGGTTT